GGTACAAGTTAGCCAGGTCTAGGAGTGGCTGATCAGAGTGTGCTGGGCTTGTGTTGCCCCAACTGGGAAGCTGCAAGGTAACATCAGCACCCAAGACAGAAGCTGCATTTTCTCTTCTCTCTTGTGTTTGTTTTTCCTGAAAGAAAACAGGATCGGACACCAACAAGTATACCACATGCAGCTTGAGACCATCTAAACTAACTTTTTCTCTTCCCCCCACCCAAAGAAGGAGAGTGAATACCATCTTTAATGCCATCGGAAAGTGTCAGACAAGACTTTCCCCTATATAGAGCGACAAGGTGGGTGAAGTAATATTTTTTATTGGACCAACTTCTGTTGGTGAGAGAGACAGATAAAGGGAATGGGAACAAAGAATATTGTTACAATGAAAGCCTGTTTTAACACTTAATATTTTAAATGGTTTAACTGGTTTTTTCTCTTTTTCTGTCTCTTTAATAAAAGCTTAAAATGATTTGAATGGTGATTGTTACAACGGGAGTAAACCAGTGATAACTAGAGCTGGAAGAATTAGTTTCAGCGAATAAATTTTCCACAAAATGCATTTTGGGGGGCATCAAAACTATTTGCGAATTAAGGTCAAATTCAGTAAATAGCTGCTGCCAAAAAAAAATTTTTTTCATAAGAAGTCCAGTTGGTTTCAAACATTTCAAAATGTAACATTTCAAGTTTTCGTTTTGAAATGACGTTTAATTTCAAACTTTAGCTAGATATTTTTTTACAAAGTGTGAAAAACACCTGAAATGTAAACAAAACAACACACACCCCCAAATCTCATTTCATTCCAATGTTTCATTTCAGATGGTTTTCAGTCTTTAATGAGCGTTTGTTTGTTTGTTTCATTTTGGTGAGGGAAAAAAATCAGTTTCAGTTCAAAACTACCCAAATTCTTTTTTCATATTTTTCAGTCCAGTCCCTGAACTGAAAAATCAGTTGTTCACGCAGCTCTTGACAGAGAAGCCACATTTAACTATTTAATGTCGTTACAGTGAACAAGGTTTTCATTAGCATCTCAACTCTGGCTGGGCATGGCACACCCTCGGATTAACACAACTTCCTCTTATCCCTTCCCCACCAAACGATTCCATTATCACAAAAGGCTGTGCTGCAGCAGGGCGCTATCCCCTCTCTCTACTGACACCTGTGCTATAAAGAGGTAAGCTTTAGAAGGAAGTGTAAAATCGCCACTCGTGCTGCAGGACAGGCTGTGCAATCCCACACTACTGCACACCCACACACGGAGACATGAACCAGCTCCAGAGAATACAGCCAGGCTAGATTAACACACTACTGCTGGTGCTGTAATAAATTACCCTAAAATCTACCTGTGTCATCACTGAAATATTACATGGGACCAGATCTGGAAAAAATGGAATACTGGAAAACCCGACCTGACTGCAAATCTCTGGTGAAAGGGATGCTGACTCCAACAGGAAACAGGCACAATAAAAACAGCTGCAGTACACGCTATGTGACTGTGACACGTAAATCTTCCACTTGCCCTAAAACTCCTGGAGAATGCTAAGGAGATCTGAGGAAAGGCTCAGAAAGCAATCTGAGCTGCATAGAAGGGCCACGGGGTGAGTCAAATGGAAAAAAAGAAAAGCCCAGTTATTGATGGTGCAATAGCACTAGAACTGCAGCTATACAGTGCATTTCATACCGAGCATGATTAAGGGGAAGAAAGCTCTGAAGAAGTAACGAATAAGTTCAAAGATCATTGTACCCTGGCAAAAAATCGTACCAATTAAAGACGTATTTTTTTGATAAAGAGCAAAACGGGGAGCAGAAAGCAGAGGAGACTTAAAGATAAAGAACCAGAGCCTGAGTCTCCATAACACTAAAGCCCCTTTATGCCACTCTGGCAGCTTAAAGGGGTCTTAAAAGTTGCAGAAACGGCCCCCTGAGAATACCTCTGTGCTAAGGGCCTCTCCTGGGACTTGCATAAGGACTCAACTCTGGTCCTGCTCCCAGCCCCTGGTGCAGGGGGTGGAGTGGGGGTGTGACCAGGATGCACTGAATTTAGGGCTGTGGGATGCAACACAAAGTCTAACTTAGAGCAGCCCTGAGGCTTCCGTAACTGATACAGGGAAACAGGCAGGCCCCTGCACAGTCCCAGAATCTGAGGAGCACAAAGGCAGCTTAAAAATCTTCTTTGCCCCTGCCCTTCTTTACTCCAAACACAGGGATTCAGGAAAGGAGAATCAGGCCCACAGTATTTGAATCTGGCATATTAGAAGACTGTCTCAGTATCGGTCAACTAGCTTTAGGGTGCAGCAATGAAGGGCTACTTAAGGGGGTGGACATGACGTGTGAAAAGGCAATATTCATAAAGCAAGAACCAGAACAAACAGACGTATAGACAAACATAGCATGTGACTGTGTAAACATTCTAACTATAGACCTACCTCTGAGCACAACACAAATGATTGAATGCTCCTGCCCCCATGAGGTAGGGAAATGTTACCACTCTCCCCATTTTACAGATGGGGAACTGAGGCAGAGGACGATTAAATGACTCACCTGAAGTGACACAGGAAGCTTGTAGCAGAGACAAGTATTGAACTCAGATCTCCTCTATCATAGCCTCACCCCTTCACCACACAATTAACCTCCCTGTGGAAGTGCATAAGAGCTTACAAAAAATAACATGGCGAAGGATTCAACATGCCAAACAAAGAGTGATGTCACAGTGATGTGGGAGCTGGCAGGAGTATAGAACACGCCCAGCATTTGGACATGGAAACTGTAATAAAACCAACCCCTTTTCAGGGGGCTTGGTGAGCTAAAGGTAGAACCTGAGGATTCCTCCAGTGAAAGGGGGGAGCTATTCATAAAAACAATAATGAAAGAAGCTATGAACTCAAAAACGGTGGCTAATAAACATATGCCGCAGTGGTCCACACATGACATGCAGAGCCAGAGTCCCTGCCGACGTACATAGGCACAGCTTCATTGGTTGCCCTGGAGTTATGCTGATTTCAGCAGAGGATGTGGCCCCTGAAACAGACACAGATGCAAGTAATAATAGAAACTGAGAAAGGGCTATTCAATGAAAGAATCAAGATTGATATGTGAGCCTGAAACCCGAGCGTATGTCTTTACACAGCAGGGCCGCCCAGAGGGGGGGCAAGTAGGGCAATTTGCCCCAGGCCCCGCAGGGGCCCCCACGAGAATATAGTATTCTATAATATTGCAACTTTTTTTTATGGAAGGGGCCCCCGAAATTGCTTTGCCCCAGACCCCCTGAATCCTCTGGGCGGCCCTGTTACACAGCTGTGTACTGCCTGAAAACAGCCCAGTTGGACAGCCTGAAACAAAAGGGTTAAAAAACCTACTGACACAGGAAGGCAATTTCACCCAATTGTTTTATCTGCTCCACCCTCTGATGAAGACATAAGCACTTCCGCATAGCTGCCAGCTTTCTCAAGGCCATCTGTGCATCGGAGTCTGATCTGCAATATCCTGGGACACAGAGCTGGTCTGCTTCTGTGCAGCAGAGAACTCCATGTGTCATGCCAATGGCATGGCAGGAGAAAAGGCTTTTACTTTATTTTTCAAAAGGAAAATGTTTTAAAAACTCAAATAGACTCTTTTAGCAGGTCAGCTGAAGAGATTAGCTACCTCAGAGTAACAGAACAATGCATCAACTGGAGTCTAGTTCTTGTATACATTTCAGAAAAAGAGTCAATAATGATACTTAGCACTAATTATGGCACCTGGGCCTTGATCTAGCAAAACACTCAAACATCTGCTTAACTTTAAGCACGTGGGTAGACCCCTTGACTTCAAGATGCTTCAACACATGCTTTGCTGGACAGGAGGTTTAAACCTCCAACAGCATGGGGGGTAGGAAGAGTGTTTTTATCCCCTTTTTAAAACATTAAAAATAATCGTGGGAAATGTTAAAATCTTCACATAATGAACAGACAATTTTTCTTGGCATCCTAGTCATATTCTGTGTTAGCCCCTTTGCCTGAGTAATCAACAAACGCACCGTTTCTCTCTCTCTCTCTCTGTGTGTGTGTATATATATATATATATATATATATATATATATATATATATATATATATATATATATATATATATATATATATA